ACGTGCTCACAATGTTCACTACAAGAGAGATTGTCCTAAGCTTAAGGAGAAAAGAAGGAAGCAGAAAATAGATAATTCAACAAATATTGTCGACACTGGCAATAATTCTGATGATAGTGACTATGTAGGGAAAGTTTGTGCTGTGAGTTCTAGTCATGGGCAGAATTCTTGGGTTCTTGATTCTGGTGCTACTTTCCACATGTGTCCACACAAGAATTAGTTTTCAACTTACAAGCAAATGAGTGGGATTGTCTACATGGTAGATGATAATCCATTACCAGTATAGGGGATTGGTAATATCAAATTGAGAATGTTCGATGAAATTATCAGAAACATTGAGTGTTGGCATGTTCCTCGGATAAAGAGAAATTTGATTTCTCTTTCGACTTTGGATGATCAAGGTTATAAATTTCACTCCGAAAATGGAATATTTAAAGTGTGTAAAAACTCTATGGTACTCATGAAGGGTAAACTGTATTCTAATTTGTATCATCTTCAGGCCAGTGTAGTTGAAGGAGAAGCTGTTGTAGCTTCTGGAAAAAGTGATTTGAATCAATCTCAGTTGTGGCACTTGCTACATGGTCATATGAGTGATAAGTGATTTTCTTTTTTGAATAACAAGAATTTTTTGAATGGGTACAAAATAAAGTTTTGAATTTTTGTAAGCATTGTGTGTTTGGAAACGCACAAGGGTAAAGTTCAGCAAGAAAGCCGAGCACAAGACCAAAGACAAGTTAGATTATATACATTCAGACTTGTGGGGTCAAAATAGAGTTCCCTCCAAGAGTGGTGCCAGGTATTTTATGAATTTGATTGATAATTACTCAAGGATGGTGTGGGTGTATTTTTTAAAAACAAAAGATGAATCATTTCCGACATTTGTTAAATGGAAGACGATGGCTGAGAGGCAGACGGAAAGAAAACTTAAGTGTCTTCAAACTAACAATGGGTTGGAATTTTGCAATTCTGAGTTTGATAATTTCTGCAGTAGAGAGGTCATAGTGAGACACCGCATTTGTGTTGGAACACCATAACAAAATGGTATTGCAGAATGTATGAACAGAATGCTTTGTGATAAGGCACGAAGCATGCTTTCACACTCATGTGTTAGAAAGGATTTTTGGGCTGAAACAATTAATACAGCTTGTTATTTGATCAATAGATCTCCATCCACAGCTATTGAGTTCAAAATTCCTTTTGAGGTATGGTCCAATTCGCTTGCTGATTAGTCAAATTTAAGGATATTTGGTTGTCCTACTTATGCTCATGTGAGGGATGGAAAACTTGAACTGAGGACAAAGAAGTGCATATTTCTAGGGTATGCAACTGGAGTGAAAGGTTATAGATTGTGGTACACAAATCAAAAGACCCTGGGGCTAATTATCAGTGGGGATGCAACATTCAATGAATCTGCCTCACTGGACTGTCAGAGAAAGAAGACGGTAGCAGAAACAGATCACGATATCAGTGACCGCATAGAGCTAGAAATTGAATCTCCACTAGCTCATCCCAGAAGTTCTAAAGTAAAGGAAATGGATGAGGTACAAAATATTGGTCAAGATGATAATATTGATACACTTGCACCCAACAACCATATAGAATTGCAACAGGTAGAGAGAAGAGAGTGATCAATCCACCATAAAGGTTTGCAAATGTAGCTGATGGTAATTTACCTAGAGATGCAAATTTTGTGGAGTTTGCTTTGTTAGTTGCAGAGACCATTGATGTGCTTGAGCCTAATAGCTATAAGGAATCTATTTCTAGTCCAGAAGCAGATCAGTGGGTTGGTTCTATGAGTGAAGAGATTGAGTCTCTTCATAAGAATCAGACATGGAAGCTTGTTCTATTGCCAAACGGACAGACGGTACTAGGCTGCAAATGAATTTTCAAAAGAAAAGCGGGCAATCCAGGGGTTTAATCATCAAGGTACAAGGAAAGACTAGTAGCTAAAGGTTTTACACAGAGGGAGGGGATAGATTACAATGAAGTGTTCTCTCCAGTGGTAAAGCATAGCTCTATCAGGGTCTTATTGGCTTTGGTGGCTCTTCATGACTTAGAGCTAGAGCAGTTAGATGTGAAAATGCATTCTTGCATGGTGAGTTGGATGAGTAGATTTATATAAGTCAACCCGAGGGATTCATTATCACGATAAGAAAAATCATGTTTGCTTGCTTAAGAAATCTTTATATGGTTTGAAACAGTCACCTAGGCAGTGGTATAAAAGATTTGATACATTCATGATTCAAAATGCATTTTCTCGAAGTGCATATGATAGTTGTGTGTATTACAAAAATCTTGAAGATGGTTCTCGAGTATATTTGTTGTTATATGTGGATGACATGCTTATTGCTGCTAAAAGCATGTCACATATTATCCGATTGAAGAAGCATCTAGGTGTGGAGTTTGAGATGAAGGATTTGGGTGCTGGCAAAGAAAATATTGGGGATGGAGATTACCCGAGATAGAAGGGTTGGAAAGCTGATGTTGTCCCAACGGTCATATATTGAGAAGGTCCTCAAGAGATTTAATATGACAGGTGTTAAATCTCTGTATGTTCCTTTTGCTTCCCATTTCAAGTTGTCTGCAGACATGTCACCAAAAACAGACGAGGAGATGGAGCAGATGTCTAGTGTTCCATATTCGAGTGTTATAGGTAGCATTATGTATGCTATGGTTTGCACTCGCCCTGATATTTCACATTCTGTTAGTGTTGTGAGTAGATACATGGTGTGTCCTAGTAAAGAACATTGGCAGGCGGTGAAGTGGATCTTGAGATACTTGAAGGGTACTGCAGATGTAGGCTTGACTTTTTACAAAGACAAGTTGAGTAAATCCTTAGTTGGCTATGTCGATTCAGATTATGCAGGGGACTGAAATAAGAGAAGATCTCTGACAGGTTATGTTTTTACTCTTTCAAGTCATCAGTTGGAAGGCGACTTTGTAGTCTATTGTTGCTTTGTCTACTACAGAAATTGAGTATATGGCAATTACGGAAGCACTGAAAGAGGCTATTTGTCTACAAGGCTTGGTAAGTGATATTGGACTAGCTTAGAAGAAGACACTAGTGTTTTGTGATAGTCAGAGTGCCATTTATCTTATTAAGAATCAAATGTTTCATGAGCGGATGAAGCATATTGAAGTCAGACATCACTTTATTTGAGACATTATATCAAAAGGGGTTGTCATGTAGAGAAAGTGTCTACGCATGATAATCCAGCTGATATGATGACCAAGGCAGTCCCGGCCAACAAGTTTAGGTATTGTCTAGACTTGATTGGTGTGTGCAGTACTCAGTAGAGCCCTTGTGAGGGCAAGGTATAGAGACGTTATTCCTGTTAATGAAGAGAATTCAAGCCAAGGGAAGATTTGTCATTTTGTGGCTTGAATTATTTTCTTGTATTTTTAGAAAATCCATAATCCCTATAGGTTTAGGAAAACTCATTGTCCTAATAGATTTGGAAAAGGAAAACCTATAGACCTTGTCAAATTGGGAAACCTTTCTCTTATAGGTTTAGGACTATTTGTGATCTATATATAGGGGTTGTAGTTGGGGATTCTATAGATTGTATTGTGATTTTCTTCTCATTCATAGTGAATAACTCTCTCTGCTTTTGCCCCGAGAATTAGGCTTTACCAAACACCGTTAAATTCTTGTGTTGATTTTTTCTTCTCTATTTGCTTTGTGTGTGATTGTGTGCTAGTTAACCTACGATATTCCACAACACTTTTTATGGCTGGCAACAAGGGAAGTGATTTTAACAATGGAAAATTGGAGGAAGAGGAAGATCACCTATATTAGTTGGTGTTGATCACCTCCTTTTGCATTGTAAAGTGGATTCAAGACTATGAATGGTGGTCTTTTATTAGTTTTAATTGCAAGACGGGCAAAGTGAAAGAAGCATTGTACAGTTGGGCCTACAAGAGTAGGAATAGAAGTTCAAGGGCGTGAAAGTTTGCTCCCCTAGCCATTATGTGAGTTATATGGAAAGAGATAAATAGGAGAGAGCTTTTGAAGGAGTGGAGCTAGACTTATTAAGTTGCAAAATAGTCTTTTGTCTCTAGCTTCTTTTAGGTGTATTTACGATATGCCTATATATAGAGATGATTGAGTATCTTTTGTAGAGAACCATATTTTGGTACGTACTTAGGTTCTCTTTTTTGAGTTCTCCCTTTTGGTTAATAATATTATTTACGTTATCAACAAAAAATCTTTGCTAATTGAGAGCAAGTAAAATCACGCAAGCGAGTAACAGAATTTGTCATGTACTTTTTTTTGTTAATTATTTTACAACTCTGCTTCACTGCCTTGTATCGTAGTATTTTGGATGAAAAGGAAAATCAATACTATGCTAAGGCAACATGTAAAAAACTTTTGAAGAAAATGTCATGCTGACTTAATTTGTATTGTGGCTCTAGTTATAACAGATTCGAATTTAAATATGGCGAGGAGTCATTGCTTCAATGTGATTCCTAGCCAAAGAACTTTTATGAGTTTATGTTCAATTGCTTAATATCATAAGAACTTGTGCACTATCATATCAAATTAACATACAAGTTACAACATGAGGTAACTTTTAAAATCAAGCCTAACCTGGATAATGTAATAATAACCTGTAATAATGAATCATATTGCATTGATGTTTTGTAAAAATTATAGACATTTGTCAGGTAATATAACTTAAACTCCATTATTATTCTCTTGGGTCGACTGTGAGAGAGAGAAAGAAAGAAAGAGAGAGAGCATGCATTATTTTGGAAGTCACGTCAAAAAGTTTTCTTGAGAAGAATCATGCAAATGTTGCTAAAAGGGAGCCAAAAATTACATGCATTTCATGCCTTTTTTTAGTTTAATACTCTCCCCCCTCTCCAAACGTGCTTTCAGTGCTAATGAAAATTGCATTACCATTATATCAAACAATCTCTCTATTATCATTGTTATTATTCTTCTTCTTTGTCTCTCTTTGGTACTTGCAAATCTTGATTTTGTTTATCTTCTGATAATGGGAAGGCCTCCTTGTTGTGATAAAGCAAATATCAAAAGAGGCCCGTGGACTGCTGAGGAAGATGCAAAAATTCTTGCTTATGTAGCCTCTCATGGAATTGGCAACTGGACGTTGGTCCCTCAGAAAGCAGGTTTGATCAATGCACTATATTCCATTTGTCGAGGCAGATGCACTATATATAGTTCTAACGAGTTCAATTGAATTCAGTATTTTTTACACATAAATATATAAATATGTATGTGAATATAACGAAAATTCAACAAAATACTAAATTTCGAACTCATACTTGGACACTCCATATTTATATTCTGATTCCGTTATATTCTGAATCTGTCTCTATTTGTCGATCATATATATCTACTCAAAAGTGATAATTGGTACAAATCTTATTGGATGAATTTGAAGGTCTCAATAGGTGTGGAAAAAGTTGTAGGCTCAGATGGACCAATTATCTACGCCCTGATCTTAAGCATGACAACTTCACACCTCAAGAAGAAGAGTGCATCCTTGAGCTTCACAAAACCATTGGTAGCAGGTTAGTTTTTTTTTTTAATCCTAATCTTCCTTGGTTTGCAAGTAAATAATTTGGTGTATTTGGTACGACAAAAGTTACTTTTTTACATAAAAATGTTTTCAAAAAAGGACTTATTTTATGAAAAATATTTTCCAATATTTGATTGAAGAGAGAAATATTTTCCCAAAAAAATATTACTACTAAAGATTGATAATATTATTAGCAAACTGGATAGTGGTTTTAATGAAAGTTTGAGTACTAAAGATTGATATAATGTCTAAGTATTGGTCAAAGCAATGATATGAAGTTAAGAGTACAGATAATATTAAGGAAAGTGTCTTCCACACACCCTCTTTTGGTGGAAAATATTTTCTAACAGCCAAACATCTAAAAATATTTTCTGAAAAATATTTTCTCAATTAACAACTTGTGGTTTGTAACAACTTGTATTGTCTCAGGTGGTCTTTAATAGCAAAGCAATTACCTGGGAGAACAGATAATGACGTCAAAAATTACTGGAACACAAAACTCAAGAAAAAGCTTGTGAACATGGGAATTGATCCTGTAACACATAAACCATTTGCTCAAGTCTTTGCTGAGTATGGAAAAATCAGTGGCCTTCCAATTCAAAATACAAGAAATAATATCTGTTTGCCCAACAATACCACTGAAATATCAAAGCAATTTCCATTCTCAAGTGGAACTCCACATGACAAATTTGTTCACAACATTATGAATGATCAGTTACAAGAAAACTACTCCACTCAGAAATACACATGGGATCTTAAGCCTCAGTATCAAGTCATCCATGAGGAGACTCTTCAAACAAACAGTTTTAGTGAAGTCTCCCCCTTGATTTCATCAGCAACTTCTTTTAACCCAACAGTATTCAGCTCATCGTCTTCTTACGCTTCCGTGCAATCTCAGGTTCGAGTTAATTTTACGTATGACCATTAAAGAAACCCTCTATAACAGTAAATCCACATTAAAGTAACTAATTTTTATACACTATAACAGTAAATCCGCAAAATTTTGCCCACAATAATAGTAAAGTCACCTTGATGGCAGGAGCGAAGGTATATAGCCCTAAGGGTGGTCAACTGATCACTCTTTGTCGAAAAATTACATTATATATGTAGGTAAAATATTAGATTTTAATGGTATATAACATATATTGAACACCCTTTATAGGGTATTTTCTTTGCTTATTTCAAGTCGAGTGACCATGCGTAAAATTAATCTTATCAGGTTCATACCACGGCATGTTCTTCGTCAACATCTACTTGGAACGAGTTTGTACTTGGAGATCTGTGTACATCCACAGATACAGAGCAAAAACAGGAATACCAACTCCAAGCTGGGATATATTTGTCAAAGGATCTGTCAAGTTCAGTTCACAAGGACAATCCCACTTGTGGGGAAGTGACTGAAGTTGAGGAAAAGCAATCTGTTGAAGAAACCACTTGTTCCTCTGCTGTGGATTCATTCGTGGACACTATCTTGGCTCGCGACAAGCAAATGCTAATGGATTTTCCTCCACTTCTAGATTTGTATCTTGATTATTGACTCTTGATATAATTTCGCGAGTTGGAATAAATGTTAACAGGACTCTTTAATTTGCTTTGCCAATTCCTTTTTCCCCTATTGCTAGGAGCCTGTTTCGAGTTCCTCAGCTTATGTTCTAACTTCTAATAGTAACCATGCATAAGAGATTTTCTATTTCCTTTTTATTATAGACAAAGTAAACGGTGCTACATTTAGTCATTTCAAGAATGAAATGCCCTGCAAAGCAAACTGAAGAAAAGATTTAAACTCGCAAGAGTGAAACCATAGTCATCTGAATGACTAGAAATTCCTTAAGAAATCGAGATCACCCGTAAAAGCATACCATGATCTTATTTTGTAATTAAGTCACACATAAGGAGAGAGAGAGAGTCTAAGTTCCTATAGAGTAAATGAGTAGTTTTTTCGACCTGTCATATAGGTTCACCATGTTGAGCCGCGTACTTTTTGTATACTTAATTCAGAAGCCTAGCTGTTGATAATTGGTGTAGTCTATCTCTTTCAATCTAATACAGCATAACATATTTTCTGGCAAGTCCTCTGTCTTGTTTCCCTGCACCAAATTTACAAGGCATCTTAGATTTTAAGTCTTTGTGAGCAAATTCAATCATCCTCGGGATTGCTAACAGCTACCTGAATTGTTAGACCAAAATCAAGGATGAAGTTCTTTAATCTGTCTTTACAAGATTCCAATCCTTTTCTGGCGATATAACTGAATCTATGAATGTCAAAATCAATCTCAAAATAGTTTTTTCCCTGCAAGTCACCACGACAAATTGTTTCAGTAGGAACGTCAAGGATATATGCTCAATCCTCAAAAAATAAAGGGAAAAGGTCTCATCTTCTATACAAAATCGTCGCATATTTTCCCTTCTCCTTGATGGAGCTCCAATATGGACTTGATGATTTCCATGTGTCAACATATCTCGGGAAAAATATCCAAATTTACCTCTCTAATCTTGACTATGATATAAAATTACCCTCCGCTATACTTCATATTGGAGCTCCGTTTGGGTCAAGGGGAAATATGAGACGTACTATTTGTTAACGGCAAGAGTATGAATGGACCTAGAGTATAATGTAAGATAAAATTAAGATATTTTATAGATATCCAGAGAGCTTGGAGACAACATAATCGGAAGAAAATAAATGCTCTACACAAAAGAGTATTAGATTTACTTTACCAAATAAAATTCGTGTTGAGGACGTGAGAGCACAGGCTTTTCATTGTAAGCGTTCATGAGCTTCTGCTCAGCTGCACTTAACTGAAGATCCTCTATGTTTACAACTCGCGCCAAGAATTTCAATCTGTCCCTGAAGGGTACATTTTTATCTACAGGAAAACCTCTGATCTTCTCTATTTCACCACGAATTAACCTCTGTCATGCAGATAGCAAGCAAAAGAATAGTTAGTCGGGAATTTATTCAGAATAGCCAAAATCATAAGTGCACACTAACAACAACTATATCTGACTACAGGAGCATGTATATTTTTTAAGCAAAATGCACGACCGTACCTGGATATTCTCTTGAAAATGGACTGGAAGTTCTTTTGAGTAATTTTCTGAGAGCTTGAAGTAGAAAACAAAACTCATCCCTTCCCCATTGTGTTGATTTATGAAGATTGTGGGAGGGTACAATGGTATCTGAGATGATAAAACAATCAATTATTTAGTGCCAAAAAACTGAAATGAGAAAACAGTCAATCATTTTTTGTCTAATATTTGATTCAGGAACAAAATGTATGAGGCAGTTTGCTCAATGATCTATTTAACAACTCAACCACTTGAAAATACTAAGTGTATATTAATTTGGTAAAAGAAGTAAAGCCCTAAAATCAACACAGTTTCGGACCTAAACTGACTTTACAAGTCGAATTGTAATTATAGACCTACTCCGCTTGTGTAAATTTCCACATATGCCACTAGAATGGACATTGTTTGACAAGTTGTTCAACAAAAGAATAATGATATATATAAAGTGTTAAGAGAACTAAGGACACACCTGAAGATTTACTACAAGGATTGGAGGAACTACTCCAGATGAATCAACGGCTGGAAGTTCCACAAAACGTGCAATGTGTTCAATTTTTCGTGGTGATAAGAATACATCAACCCCAAAAGGATAAAATGCAGCATGGTTTGGAGCAAACTCTTTCTTCTTGTCCCTGCCAAACAATTTAGAGGGGTTAAACTTGATATTCAATTGAACAGACGTAACCGAAGGAATTTGATTAGAGTTAAAAATACAGTAGAGTCGGACTATGTATTATAAAAACTCAGGTAACAAATCTGGTTCATCAAATAGTGGTATTATCTTACCTAATGTATCTTTTACCACGAACTTTAAAAGTATTTGGCTCAATTGATGACCAAGAGTTGGACAGTTTAGCCGACTGCGGGCTGCATGGAACTTGAGAACCAGCGACTGGTCTTCGCAGAGAGGCCTTTGACGACACTGAAGATGAAAAAGCAGAAATGTTAATAATAAAGCAAGTGAGTGTTTTAACATCAAAAACTCCTGATGTTCACATTGTACTAAGACGATAGAAATAGTCAATATGTGTCAAGTGCAGCCTATGAATTACATATGCTTAGCAAGGAAACAACTGTTATCTGCAGATTACTAAGTATCGATCTATTCAAGATGACATACGAGCATATTATCTACTTTTCCATTTGTCTTAATTTTTTTAGCCATTTAATTGCATCTGTAATGTAATATTGACGTCAACTGGCTTAATATACTATAGCATAAAATTCAAGATAAAATTTCCTTCTTGAAATTATTCACAAAGCAACTTCAGCTTCAATGCCGTCTATATGCAAAGAAAAGTAATCAATTACAGGCTAGGGCCGGGTATTAACAAAATATAAGTTAAAAACACTTACATGATGCAGAATTTGAATAGGCTTCTCTCCGTTTAAAAGATAATATTTTGGTTAGAGATGATTTCCTTCTGGTGCCTGGTGAGCTTGGGATTGCAGATTTTCTCTTTTCGAGCTGAACTCCTTCAGCATTTTTATCCATGTTTCTGCTAGACACTTTCTCAATAGGGCGTGGAACCGTCATTTCATTTTGAGGATTGTGCAATTTCAGCTGAGGATCCTTAGAAGATTTTCTTTTTACAGAAACTTCTCTGACAATATTTGGTTCCGCAATTGCAAATGATTGTTCATGTTTTGCTGCGGACTCAAAAGCAGCATTACTGTTGCAACAAACAGTATCATAAAACCTTGGAGAAATAACAGTTGAAAAAGATCCACTGCCACTCTGTGAAAATACTGCAAATTTTGAAGTTACAGAAAACATTGATCACTTATATCCTGCCCATCAATTTCTATGTTTTTACAAGGAAAAGAACTGACGAGGGATGTAACACGAGCAGAGGTTGACCTATGCTATACAGAGAGGGGTCACCGGCACCCGTAAATTTCGGCAAAAATTCCATGTATACATGTATATGTTCTTGGAAAATAGTAATATATTAGTACTGGGCACCCTATGTAGAAAGCAGATTTTGGTTGAATCCAAAAGTGCACCTGTGACCTTCAACTCCTGGTTCCGCACGAGGAGACATCATGCGCGTCAAATTCATGAAAGACATTAAAACAACGACTATGAATGTTTATTTACTCAGATGAATTACCATCTTGCGCGCTATGAAAATCATTGCTACTTTCCGATTCAATCATCACCTCAGGCCCAGAGTCAAATTCTGCATTTCCTGTTTAGGCCAAATAAAACACTTAGAGTCATATTCCAATCTAGCCAGTCCTACAAAATTTGCCGAGGGGAAGCTATAATCCAAAAGTATGAAAAGAACACTGTGCTTTTGTCTATGTTCCAGCTTCATAATTTTACCAAAACAGTCAAGACATTTCAATAGGCAAGCATATATTAAAAGCAAAAAGTAAGAAATCAAACATGTAGTCAACAAATAGAAGCAGAATTCAACATAGTAGTCAAATGTTTCATGATCAAAACTAATCCTATATTGTTATTAACTCATCTTTAAGCTAAGGAAGAAAAAAAAAGGCAATGCTTTATTGCAACAACAGAATCACAATCAATATAGATGATGGCTTGAGAAGGAAATCAGCTAATCGTGTTCCTTTTTTAAAATAATTTGTCAGTCCAACTTGAGCCACCTCGACTATTCTAGTGGGAAGTTGCTACCTTTTTTGGGTATAAATATTCCGACCAATTCAAATTCGCAACGTAGGGGCCCACTAAAGGAGAAAAGTGCTTCCTATCAGGAGTTTCTCCATTCTCACGTTTTAAACCCAAAAAATATGGAGGGAATTCATCCATCCCACCACACTCGTTGATGGAACATGCTAGCTCTCACCAGTTAGATACCTAGTATCAGATAACTCTATCGCCGAAATTTAGACAACCGGTACCAAATAACTCTGCCCTTAAAGCTTAGACAGATAGGAAGAGAAATCAGCTAAGAATTATACCTTTGGATGTAGTTATGGAGCAAGAAATATTCTTAGAAGATGGTTCAATCTTATTGAGCTTGTGAGATACAGTGTTCCTCCCTTCTTGATGTTTCTTCATATGAAGATCATTCATTCCTATGCACCTTCTAGTTTTTGATCCACACGCTCCCATTTTCTTCTTTCAAATTCTCAAAAACACAACAAATTGGAATTTTAACAAAATTACAACTGATAGGATAAGAATGAATATTGCAAGAACTTTTTTGTCTAATTATATGAAACAACTAATGTTCTAGTAAATTCAACTTTTGAGAAAATTCCTTTTTTGGGTTCTTAAAATGATACCAAATTCATCAAACTACTACTGCAATTTCCAAAAGGGACAACTTTATAAATGGCAAAGTTTAATAGGTTGGAGTGGATAATTTGTCAACGACAATATTCCTCGACCGTCCACATGACTAAGGTTATGTACCAAATTTTCATGTGCGAGTACCGTGTTTCTTTATAATTCTTGCTACGTAAAATTCCATAAAATAAGCTAATTTATTGATGACGTGTCTTAATATAATCCTTGTCACTTTCATAAGAAGCTTGAAGAATATAACCAAATTATCATGTAGAAATACATCTCTTAGTGGGTAAATAACTTATTTATTCATCACTGGAGTTAAGACTCAGGGCCGAAATTAAGGGGAAGAGGTTCGCTCAAAATTATATTGTGCATATAAGGTGAAATTTCTTTAATGTATAGTATTTATTAGATGTTGAATCCATTTAGCTCTTCATATACTTACTCTTTTTATATTTTGAATTCGCATGGTGAAAATTCTACCTTCGCCATTATATGTTAATTCAATAAATGCAAGACATACCTTTCATACTTATATTTGTCACTTATCCATAGTCAAAATGATATATTCTCGGATTAACTTTTTATTGTTAAAAATTAAATTGCTCGATTTGATAGAAATACGAATGCAGGTAAGTATAAAGTATCAGGTCTAGGGGACCCATAACTGAATTGTAAAAGTTGGAGACATGATGCTGTGGTACAAAATCTGCAAGTGGAACCACAGCAAATGTTGTAGAAGAGAGAAGATGCAATGTTGTGAGCACACGTGTTACTTCTTACAAGATCAAAACTCTGAGTGTTAATAATGCGTTTGGTTAAATAAAATCTAACAAACATTCTTTCCGATAAAATGATTGAAACGTCCTCAAAATCATTAAGATTATAATTTAAAACATGTAAAATGACGAACAACAAAAATGATATGGAGAGGAATTAAGGATTTGTTTTGAGAATAGTATTTGAAGGATTACCAAAAAAATATTAGAAATAAAATAATAAGAATATTACTCAAACCAAAAGTGCTCTTAAGATGAAATGAAAAGCCAAGAGTAACCAACTTATGGCATATGCTTTGACTTTGACTTATAAGTACTTTTGGTGTTCATAAATAAACAGTAATATCAAAGAATGCCATCATTCATAATTATGTCATATATGTGCAGTGAAAGTGAAATTCATTGAGAAAAAAGAAATACAAGGACTGGTCATACATGAAGTAATTGATAACAGAGGAACCTAGATTCTGAATTAGTACAAATTATAAGTCCGTACTAATTCAAACAACAAGGGGCAGAGGAATAAAAATTACTCTAGGAGTGTATTCAGAAGGCAATATAACATGGGACATACCAGCACCGGCCAAAACTAAAAAAAAAAGGTATATAACTAACTTTTTGCAACTCCCGCTTTAGCAGATTGATCATCAGATATACCAAATACAAACAAAAGGATCAAGTAAAACCAAATAAAGAGAGTAAAACTTAAACCAAAAGGCTAGTCCTCAGTTCACTTGAGCTAGTAAATTTTTTTACTTCGATTCTCTATTGGTTGACAGAAGTGACCTGTTGCCACTCCCCATCAACTGCTTCTTTCCACAATGTAACATCGTTGTCCCCAGCCGCCACTGCCAACAAGTTTCCGGTTAGAGACCATGAAACCCTCCAAACAGGAGTCTTGAAGTCTTTAAGAACCTTTCCCTCCCACTGATCTCCCTCCTTCGCAACAGTCCATATGACAACTGTACCATCCTCTGAAGCACTAGCAATTGTCGATTTAGGAAGTCCCAAGTTTGGTGCCCAGGCTACATCCCGCACCCAGTTAGTGTGCATCTGTAGTGCAGGGAAGCAGTCCATCTTCCAAACACCATTATATAACTTCCAAACCTTCACGGTGTTATCACAGCCACCGGATGCCAGCTTCTGAACAGGTTCAAGAACACCTGAACCAACTAAGGCACCAGGAGCCATTGATGGTGCCCATGAGACTGCTGTTACCCCAACTGGATGTGCTTGGTCAATTTTTGTAGTGTCCCAAAGACCATCTGACCTAGCAGTGTGAACTGAGATACTACCATCAGAAGAACCACAAGCCAAGCACAGCCCAAGTTCATGAGGAGCCCATGAAATAGAGTTAACCGATGATATATGGTCGCTAAAAACATGAGCTTGTGTCCACTCATTTTGATTGCCTTCCTTCCAGATTACAACTTTTCCATCATAGGAGCAGGAAGCAAGGATTGAGCCAAATTTAGGGTGTGCCCAAGCAACTTGCCAGACAGGACCAGTATGGCCACTCAGAGTGGCAAGGTGCTGTGAAGTTGAGTTGTTGCTGACTCCAACTATTTTTATGGTCATATCAGATGATGCTGTGGCCACTCGTTTCCCATAATAGTCCATGGAAACATCATGAACTATGTCATTGTGACCTGTTTCAATCTTCTGTGCAGGCATCTTTTCTTTTGCCACTACACAATGTCTCTCAGCTCCTATAATTTATTGGTCAGTTAATTTTTGTAAATGTCAGTTTAATTGATCATACACGCAATTCAAGCAACTATACGAAATATTCATATACATCACAAGTGATTCACATGACTAACTTTCAATGCTTTCTGTATCGCAAATCAAAACTTTGTAGTGAGCATATTGGTTAATCACTCTAGGTTCCAAATTAAGGTAAATCAAAATCCTCTCCACTAACCTAATGTGACACTGTCCTAGTAAAAATTAGAAAGACTACCTCAACCCGGATTCCTATAATCAGCTACAAATTTTCTAGTTGGCTTCTTTATTCACATACTTGTACTATGAATGATTCAATGTCCTTACGTTGTAGACTAACATTTTTCTTAGAATTTCAACAAAGGTAATCCATTGAGATGAAAATACTAAAATCATATACCCTAACCTAAACTAGTCTAATGCTACCAGAAATATTTTTAACTGTGATATATCTACTGAAGTTATTAGGCTACTTCCATATAAAGGACGATATAGATTTTCCCAAAATTCCTTTCCATAAAGTGACTGCTGTCCGCAAAAGATATCACACTTTCTTTTTCTACTAACCAAGATATCTATGAGGGCTATGGCGCATAATTCGAAACTTGTGGATAATCGGTCCACCACTCTACCCTTATGGCAGGTTCAAACCTGTGACGTGAGCGGTGCACCTAATCTACACATCACACGTTGTGCTCTTACCACTAGACCGAAGCCCCGGGGGCTCAACAGATATCACATCGTTCTAAAGAAGACTCCAACATATGTTTATCATAACTCAATCAATCACAAACGTATTAGGGCTGGCCATATGATTCTTCCATATCTAGGCTAATATAAGCACACACAAAAATGGATGTGCATATATTCAAAAAACACAAAGGGGGACAACGCCTAACAAACATAAAATTATATTTAACTCATCCACACATTCATAAACAATTTTTTGAATCTAATACAAATGTTAAAAATAAAAACGATCTATATATTTGCAGATATAAATTTGTGGATCTCCTATAACTATCTTTTAGTGCACTACTGGACCTCCTGGAAATATTTTCTTAGCTTCCTATCTAAGGGAAAATTTTATTTTTTGTGACGGTGTTGTGCAGTCCAACTTGCACCCACCTCGACTAATCCATTGAGTACCCGTTACCTCCCACCAGCACAGACACCACATAACTCTACCCACCAAGGCTAGGCAGGTTGGAAATATATATCATTTTTTTCGCTTCCAATTATTCGATTAACACAAGAATTCTCTCTAAAATTGACAAAATTCAGATGAGTAAAAAACCAAATCATGGATCGATGAAGCCCAATTAAACACAAAGAAATCAGAGATATCAGAAAAAAACAAAAATACAAATGTAAGCTTGATAGATCTAGCATTTTTCCTTGGGTCACAAACCGGGTCGATCCGAAAAAGAATAAAGAGAAGGCAAAAAAAGCATGGCAAAATTATAGTTTTCAGGACGAACATACAGATCTTAATATAATCTGATGAAATTATGGGATAACGAGGAAGCTTTTTACCTGTAACTGTAATAGAATGTTTCAGAGTCAAGCGATGGGATGGAGAAAATAGCGCAACTCGAATCTGCAGAGAGAGAACTGAACTGTCTAATGTGGAAAGCTTATTTGTGCAGCAAATCTATAAGTTATTCATAGTTGATGTTTACCTTGAATTTGAGTTTTGTTACGAAATAAAAGCAATTTACTAAAACATAGAACAAAAAGTAAAATAATTTAGTAAAACACTAATAAGAAATAGAGATAGAGAGAAAGAAAAGATTTTCTTTTTAAATTGTATTATTTTCTTATCTATTACAAAGCCTTTATATAGACATGAAAAGTGAAGAAAATATGTCATGGAATATTTCATTGAACATAGAAAATATGTCATTGAATATGTCATTAACCATTTGAGAGAAAGATCATGGAGGAAGAGTAGACATCCACCATATTTTGATTTTTATCATAACACTCCCCCTTGGATGTCCATAAATAATGTGCCTCGTTAAAACCTTATTAGGAAAAAACCCTATGGGAAAAAAATCCTAATGAAGGAAAAAGAGTACACATATTTAGAAATACGCCTTTTGGTTGCCTCGTTAAAAACCTTGCAAGGAAAACCCAATGGGACAAAACCTTGTAAGGGAAAAAGAGTACAACGCGTATTAACTCCCCCTGATGAGATCATCAGTTCACATCGTTGAGCCTTCGTATCCCAATCTTGTACACTAGTTTCTTGAAGGTTGACGCCGGTAGATATTTGGTGAACAAATCAGCCATATTATCACTTGAACGGATCCGCTGCATATTAATATCACCATTCTTTTGAAGATCATGTGTGAACAATAATTTAGGTGAAATGTATTTTGTCTTAACTCATTTATGAATCCTCCCTTTAATTGGGCTATGCATGTTGTATTTTCTTCATACAAAACTGTGGGTAGTTTATCACACTTCAAATCACATTTGTCTCGAATAAGATGTATAGTAGACCTCAACCATACACATTCTCGACTTGCTTCATGAATAGCAATTATCTCAGCATGATTAGAAGAAGTAGCCACGATTGATTGTTTTGTCGA